AAGATAAAAATATGATAAAGATGATACAGATGATATACAGATGAATCTAAAGATGTTCTAAATGATAAAGATGATCTAAAAGATTATCTAAAAAGATGATCTAAAGATAACGATGATCAAGATGAGATCTAAAAGAAGATTATCTAAAAAAGATAAAGATGATCGTAAGCTAAAGATGATCAAGATGGAAATAAAAGAATTTCTAAATAATAATAATAATAATAATAATAATAATAATAATAATAATAGTAATAATAATAATAATACTAATAAGAATAATTGATCTAAAAGATGAATCTAAAAGAATATGATCTACATGATCATAAAGATTAAGAGAAAAAAAATCCTAAATTTTTTATGGAAAGAGAAAAAATAAGATCTTGAAAGAAAAGATCAAATATAATAAAAAAGAAATCTTTTCAAATTTACCTTCTTTTTTCTTCTTTTTTTTATTTTTTTATTTGTATTGTTATTTTTTATGAAAAAATAAACATGAGAAAAAAAGAAGAAGAAGTTTTTTACGTCTAAAATACGGATCTGAAGCTCAAGGTGCCCCACGGTGGGCGCCAAACTGTTTATGCTCAGATATGCGTCTATCTCTGTGATGAGATCTGCTCAAATCTTAACAAAAACTATATTATTTTTTAAAAGATAGAGAAAGTGGGGTCGTTTGAATTATGGTCTTAAAAAAATCCTAGATCTATACAGATCCGGTCTTTTTCTAAGTCCACTGGCAACGCCAGCTCCAAATCCGTATTTTGACCTAAAAATGCTTATAAATTTAATTAAATATAATAATGAATTAGTTTTCCAAGAAAAATAAAATAAAGCAGATAATTAAATGATGAAAAACAAACTAAATTAAGCAAATAAATATATAATTACCTCTAGGGACTCGAAACCCGGAGATTTGAGCTTGGATTAGGCCGCTCTTCCGATTTACGCCACCGTCTCTTTTTTTGGATGCATTTGCTTGCTGGAATTGGTAGATCTAAGGTTCTTTTGACCTAGATCTAGGGTTCCTAACACAAGGGGAAAAGCTTAGAATTTTAGGTAGGGTCTACCTAGGCTTTTTTTGGGATTGGAGGAGAATTTCTTTAGTTTTCTAAGGTTTTTTTTATCTCTATAGGTTGAATATGATTTCTAATATTTTTTCTAAGATTTTTGAGATTTTTTTAAAAATTTGAAGAATTTTCTAAGGTTTTTTTCCTATTTTTGGTAATTTGGGCTTTTTTCTAATTTCATGAATTTATAAGGGATTTCTTTGTAGTTTCCTGTCTTTTCCTTTTGGGTTATGAAAGGGGTATTTATAGAACTCTTGTGATTTTTTCTAATTTTTTTTACAGTTTTTTCAAAAAAATTTTTATTTATCTTGAAGTTTTAGCCTTATCTAATTAAAGATCTCAATCAAGCATTAATACCATAATTGGAGGTTGCTAAGCTCGAATTTTATTTCCTTTTTTATTAAATATATGAGTGCATAACATGTAGTCATGAGAGCATAGCGTAGACTTACGCATCAAGTAAAAGACCTACTTAGGACGATCTCATGATCTTAAATTTTGGGATCATGTTAGAATGAGCACGAGTATTGAATCAAGTCTGTTATTCAAAGATTATTTAGGGATCCAAGGTTAATTTTGCAAAGACCAAACTTGGGCATTAATTGTGATAAAGCACATATAAGGGAATGGGCCTACTTGATGGGATATGTTTTTTATAATTTACTAGTTTAATATTTAGTCATGCGACACATTAGCAGGATCCCATAATTTATGGTGAAATTGGCCATTTGGAAAACCAGGTGTTATTTGCCATTTGGATGTAGAATCACTTTGATTAAGGCATCAAGTGCAATTTCCAAGAAAAGTACGCATAACAATGACATTTGGTCAACTAAGAAGTTTGCCAAATCGGCTTGGATTATTATTATTACTATATTTACTATTGTCGTCGTTGTTGTTGTTGTTGTCGTTGTTCTTGTTGTTGTTGTTGTTGTTGTTGTTGTTGTTGTTGTTGTTGTTGTTGTTGTTGTTGTTGTTGTTGTTGTTGTTGTTGTTGTTGTTGTTGTTCTTGTTCTTGATGTTCTTGTTGTAATTGTTGTTGTTGTTGTTGTTATTGTTAATATTATTAAAAGCTTTTTTTTTTGTTTTCTCAAAGTCATATTTACTGTGATATTGAGCACTTTTGCCACCTAAGTTTTCTTAAGGGAAAGTGTTTGTTAGTCAGTCGACTCACCTGAATATGTGGGGAGCCCTTCAAAATCGTTCTTTAAAATGGATTTTTAAACTAAAGTTTTGAAATTTGTTAATGATTATATTTGAAAATGCGCAGTTCTCTAAGCGAGATCAACTCAAATTTATGCAAAACGAGTTAAAATTCATGTATCAATAGAGAATGTGGGGCTGCTCAAATTATAGATCCAAAACCAGTATAGATCTGACCCTTTATGGATCTATTGGCAACGCCAACTGTAAATCTTAGACCCACTAGTTCTTTAAAAGCTATGAATTCTAAATTAAACTAAAAAATCAATAGATAAATAGAATATAAATAATGAGAAAAAGAAAGATCAAATATCTGAAAAACTCGAAGTTGAAGCCCATATCAACACCACAGGTTGATTTACACATTTGGTGCCTTCTCTTGCATTCTTGAAAGTTGAATTTAAAGGTTGGATCTAAGATATCTTATTCCTAGGTATCTTGATTTTTGGGGATTTTGTGGAGTACTATTGAATCGACCTTGGCTTATGATCGCTGGCCTAGTTTTCTTCCTAGACATAGGGTTTCTAGAGCCTGACTGATTGTTTTGAGAAATTTTTTAATTTTCCTCATGTGTTTCTTAATTTTTATGGAATTTGGGATTTTGTACTATATTCTAAAACAAAATTTCGTAGAATTTCAGTGATTTTCCTAAGGATTTTCTGAATTTTCTAAATAATTTTTTAGGATTATGAGAGGGTTTTACATAGGCTTTGCCTAGGGGCATGGTTGAAACAATGTTGGAGTCCTTTCCCAACTGTGACGGGCAAAATTGTTAAAATTTGAGATTATCCTTTCCAAAACACGTCAATAGAAGGAACCAAAAGCTTCTGGAACCCTCAAGCAAGCGCCTTGTGGACCCGTGGACCTGCGCACGCAGGGAAATCTCTACGTCATTTATTTTGGACAATATTTCCGTCAATATCTTTCGAACGGAAGGTCAAATTTTGATGATTTTTTAAACGGTTGGAAAGGTATTGAGATCTACTATCATTTGGGCTAGACTTTGAGTTTTTTTTGGGGACTAAACTAAGATATTATGGCTTATTGACTTAGTGTGGACCTTAGGGCTCAAAATTGAGGACATTAGTAATTTTAAATTTTATTAGCCAATATTTCCTTTTCTTTTATTTAGGGGTTGTCTATTGTTTAGTCTCAACTATCATGGTGATAACGAATTTGGAATTTATAACTTCTAAAAATAAAATTCTTACCTTTTTAAATATGTTTTGTAGCCACTAATTTTTGGACATCATCTCTAAGAGGGACACCTGATGCATGAGGAGACACATGTTTGTATCCTTTTCATAAACCATGTTTCTAGGTTTTAAAACCTTCAAATTAATTTACTTTTCACTTATTTTTTCTTATCTTTTTGCCACCACCAATAAGTTTTTCATAACTTCTACCATTATTTCCTTTCATGTCGGTGGACTTTGGACTTTGTCGTAACATCTACCTAATCGCGCAAATTTCACAAGGTGCATATTTATTTTTTTATTTTATTTTTTGAAAATATATCTCCATAGATCCCATTTTTAATTTCCATTTCTTTCTAAACCTAAAAATTCAAAACCTATAATCTAACCCCCCCCCCCCCCAAATAACTTTTATCTTTTTTTATTTCAACTTTTAATCCAAACAAATTAAAAAATAATCTTTTTCTAACTTTTTCTCTCTTCGTGTGTTTCTGTCTAGACTGTTCTTCCTCTCAACCACTCTGCTGCCCCATTTCTCCTCCTCTCTCACTCCCCTTCCTTGATCTCCGCCTCTCTCACTTCCCTCTCCCTGCTCTCTGCTCCTCAGCCATCCCCTTCAGTCTTCTCCGCCAACTGTCGCACCCTTCTAACCACCTGAACGCTATTGCCAATTTGTTGTTGTCCCTTTTTCTCTCTCTAAAACCACTACTGCCCCTTTTTCTCTCTCTAAGATCACTACCACTGTGCTGCTGCCCATTTTACCTCTCTCTCTCTCTCTGTTGATCGGGCATTATACTCTCGCTCTCTGGATCAGTAGCCTCTCTCTCTCTAGATGGGGGATCTCCAACAACAAAACCTGATTCACTACTGTGAATGCACCTTTCAAAAGCGCGTTCTCTTGAAGCGCTCTGTCACCAGTTTCGGTGCCGCAAAATTATGGTCGCTGGAGGTTTATAGGAAAACACGGTAAATTTTGGGTGATTGAGAGAGAGAGGGGTCTGGAGGTTGATCGGGGGAGAGAGAAAGGGAATCATGGCTAGAGAGAGGGCTTTAGAAGACATTGTTTTTTATAAATTTGTTTGGGCCAAAAATTTTAATAAAAAATAAATAAAATATATTAAGTGGGTTAGAAGATATAATAAAATGAATTTTTATGTAGTAAGATAGGTTTTACAACTTTAGATTAATAAAGAAATGAAGGTTGAAAATACAGTCTTATTTTCATTGTTTATAACTAATAAATGTTTTCATAAGTAAAAAATATTGAGAGCTTGGGGTCAAGGTCATTGTCATTTTTTAAAGTAAAAAATATTGAGAGCTTGGGGTCAAGGTCATTTTTTAATCTAACTCTTATTAGGCTACTAACCATGTCCCTAAGTCAAGCCGCGTAAAGCACCTAGAGAATACGGCTTCGGACTTAAGAAGTTTCTTCGAATCTCAATGGAGTTTGAGTTTCTTGGAATCTCAATGGAATTTGCATCTACATTCTTTTCTATATAAAGGGGTAGGGTTTCTCTATCAACCCACAAAGGCAAAGCAATTATTGGCATTATCTTACTATTCTCTCAAGGCCAAATAAATGGGAAAGGTACAAAAACATTATTTTTGTATTTAGAAAAAAAGGGGGAGCAAAAATCTTATTGCACGTGGTTTTCTTTTTCTCTAGATTTGCAAAATAAAAGCATTAAAAATTTTCTTTTTTCTCTTGATTGCAAAATAGGAAGAGGAAAAATAGTAAGATCCATGTATTGTTGTGTGGTTGAAGGAATTTAATTTTTCTTCAAATCTCGTAAATCTAAATTCCTCAAATTTTACAATAATACATGGATCTTAATATTTTTCATCTTCTTATTTGTAGCACTACATCTCAAGTTCCATTAACATTGTCAAAAAGAAATTTGAGGAATTTAGTTATCTAAGTTGCTAATTACATATGCTTGTGAATATGCAGCAAGAATTTGTGATCGAGGTTCGCATGGCCTGTGAGAAGTGCCGGTCAAATGCTCTAAAGGCCGCTGTCTCGGGACAAGGTTTGTACTCTTCACATTTATATGTTATTTTCGTAAATGTCCAGGTATTGGCTTAATTTTTGAGATTTATTCTTTACTTTTTTCAAAAATAAATTTTCGATCATCACCTGATTGTCCATGAGAATGGTAATAAAAGTTCGAGAGATGTGGGTTATCAAAATAAAAAGGTGTCACAACATGATGTCAAGAGTTCCACTCGTCCAATAGCATCAACAAATATTTGCATTTGTAGTGTTAAGTGGCCTACATGATAAACCCTTGTAGCCACACAACAAACAATAATTTTTTCTGTTGATCGTAAACCCTCGAAACTCGAAATACTTTAGGACATCCATTTCATTCTCCATCACAAGAAAAATAAAGAGAGGGATTGGAGCTCTTAATAAGCTCTAAATCTGATCGGTTTGATATAGGGCCGGAAGCGGTTTAACCGGTCTAACCGGTAAATTAGCCGATTCAACCGTTCTAATCGAGTAAGTCCCGGACGGTAAAAAAATTGTAAAAAAAATAAAAATATATACAATTTTTTTTACTAAAATATGAAAAGCATATAACGCATATAAAAATTCTTTAATTTCAAAATTATTTTTATGAAAAAATTTAAATGTGCTCCTAAATTTAAGGTTGCAACCTAGTGCAAACCACACCCATTAAAAATTCAACAAAGAAAGAAAATAGCAGTGAGATTTGGGGTGATTTTATTTTTTGCTTTGGATTTCCAGGGACCCAATCCCGAAGGACTTGGGTGATTATTAGGTGGCCATATCAATTTTTTAAGCATTGAATCGGAGGATTGATATTCAAATTTCTTGTCAATATTTTAATTAGATACCCGAAACACAATTAGTGATTATTAAAAAAGTTGAAACAAATAGTCTCAAAAAAAATTTTATTTTGGGGCTCAAAATTTAAATTTCGAAATTGATGATTGTGATAGTTGAGATGTTAGACCTATAAAAAAAATTTTTTTTCGAGATCTCTGCCAAAGATGGATTTTAAAAGTGTGGACTCGCTGTAACAGGTGCGTCACCTTACGCAGATAAATATGTTAAATGATTTCATGTGCGTCACCTTACGCAGATAAAATCTACACAGGTCTGAACTATGTTAAATGATTTCATGTGCCCTTTCCTAGGAAATAAATGAAAAAAGTGTTCCAATCATATTTTTTTTATGAAGGAGTTGAGCATGTGGACTAGGTTATGTGGGCCTAAAATATTGAATGTTCACTCAACATCAATTAGTTGACATACGCCACACATGAATGAGATGACAGGGGGATGGTTACATAATCCGATCTACCTCACTCTGACATTGCCAACCCATTGTGGTGCCACAAACAAAGGTCTTAAAGATCGGACAATCCCTTAATATCAGCCCTCCACTGGAACAATTTGGATCAACTGATTCAACCATTCAGATAACAATTCGGTTGAAAATATAAATTGAAAAATAAAAGGGTACATAAATTTAGGAAATATCTGTCTTTGATGAATTATCTTTGAGTTAAATATTGTGAGGTTTGTATAAGGTGCCATGTTATGCTATAGAAGCCTTGGTGCATCTCCAAGCCTAGGTGCATCGAAAATCTAATTTTTGCCGGAAGATGTAGTTCTAGTATTGGAAATCTTACGAGGACTTGAAAATCCTTCTTCAAGCCTAATTATGAAATTTAAAATTAGAAAAATGGTAAAGATCTATACACACTTGAAACATTATAAATAGACAGTCTAGATATTGATTAAAAGGTTTTCCACTTGAAATCTTATGATGACTTTTAGGACTTGAAATTATTATTATTTCTTTATATCCATTTATCTCGAGGTTGAGATTATTGATTAGAAGGTTTTCCTACTAAAGAATATGTTTTTTTTAAGTATTTTTTATTTGTACCTTTACTTCTACAATATAAGGTTGCAACCTTATATATTTATAATCCTCAAAATTGTCATTCGAGCCTTATCCCAACTACTTAAGGTTGGTTGAACGAATCTTATTCCGTCATTCCACTATATCAAGTGTCTTACCTTCGGTCAAACCATGAGTGACCGTATCTCTTCCCACTACTTTTATTCATGTCATTTGGCCCTTAAACACACCAAATTTGATTATCGACTCTCTAACTCTGAATTGGTATATCTTAAAACCTTGGGTACAATTGAGCAAAACATTTGCAAATTCCTGTATCTCAAAAAGGTTTTCAATACCTAAGTCATTCCAATAAACTAGAGAAGAATCCACGCATGCATGCCACATTAATGTGGTATAATTTCAACGTCCATTTGGTAATCTAACTTCGTAGATTTAGATCTCAGTCAAGCCTTCGTCATGAAAACATGGGGAAATAATATATAAATGATTCTTAGAACTACTAGGTTTCAACTTGTAATTAAGAATGTCTCCTTGTAAAAGAGATAGCCGTTCAACCATTGGTCCTTTGGTTATGGCCCCTCATGCTCCTCCCCTCAAATTTCAAATTTTGAGTTCCCACTTGGGACAATAATTTCAAACCTAATTTTGAGTTCCCACTTGGGACAATAATTTCAAACCTACTTAATCCCTTTTAAGTAGGTTTGAATCTGATGCCACTAATTGGAGGGATCATAATGGACACTACAAGATGAGTGAAAATTCTATGAACCTAATCTTACATGGATAGGTGGTCAAGATGGTGACACCCCAATATCACATCTTGTGTTTCATTTCTACAAGTGATTTAAAAAACCTCAAGTCGGCATGGAATCGCTTGGTCTAACTTTTGAATCAGTCACCATGTGCTAATATATAGGAAAGTGTCTAGGTTTAGAAGAGAACTGACGATTCGCTACAGTAAAAATTCCTATTCCCCAATCCAGACCAGTTCTTTACCGATTCACTGTTTTTGCACATCTTTTTTCGCAAGTTCACTATTTTTTTCGTACAGTAACATGGCGATCTAGGTAGGGGATCCTTTCCCTACCAAAAAGGAAAAAAAATGAAAATTAAAAACTCTTCTCAAGAATATTTCATTAAAGATCTAATTAATATTTACTCTTTCATGAAACGTATATTTTTCTTGTCCCAGGCCCTATCATAAATATTTCATACAAGGTCTATTTACTATATCCCCAAATTAGTAGAAATTCCAAGAGTAATTAAGACCCAAACAGGGTTGTATAGACCACTTCCCTCATAAGTCACCTTGAGCTTAAGCCTTGATGTCCTCTCACCTCATTTTGAGTCTATTGGGCTTGGACAAGCCCAAGCCTGGTCCAGGATAGCTTATAAGACTTATTTGGAACAAAAGGTGTTTAAAATATTGGTCTCACGCAAGACCTTATTCTAATAGGCCCCTCCAACACTTTGAGGACAAGATATTGAAGAGGGACCCATAGGAGAACAATGCAATAACCCAAACAAGGGAAAATGGTGAAAATTCTCTTTCGGACTTTTTTTAGGTAGTCCATAGGGGATGGGTACCCTACATGTGGTACGATAGAACTCAAATCGTCGTATTATTATTGTGCTTTGATGCCACTTGTTGTGCTCTGATACCATTTGTTGTGCGCGCAAAACCAATAAACCCGATGGGTCAATATTTGACAAATAAAATATGAGAAATAAAACATGAAAAATATACAACAAGAACACAAAGATTTACGTGGTTCACTCAAGAGGGCTACATCCACGGGCACGGCAAATAGAAATCCACTATACCAATGAAAGTTACATCAAAGATTTTGGAATAAATCTCGACAAAAATATCCAAGTCGAGCAAACTCTTTTAAACATGCTCTCCCAAACGGACCATGCCGATTCTCTGATCTCTATTCCATAACTAGACTACTGTCTAGAAAGAGAACAACTTTAAGAGCAAACGAAACTTTATCTCACTAAAAAGAGAAACAACCCAAAATCTCTATGGGAACCGCTTTTATACAAGAAACAAGCCTCTCAATTTTCGAGAGTCCAAAAGAGACACCATCACAATGCTTCTGTCCAAAAGTAGTTCTCATCTCTAGGAGAAAATCGCATCTTATACACATGATGCTCTATCACCCCCTCTCTCTAGAGGAACCACCATTTCCCATATGGTTTGACCCAACTTAAGTACGTAAATTTTCTACACTTTCATCCCATATATATAATAAGGAATCAACACAAAATAGAAAACTTCCTATTAATGTAATATATATCTCAAATGACCAATAGATATATCTAAAAATCCTAATCTTTTTGGATTTTTATTTCTTTTAAGAACCTTATCAACATCAACATCAATATCAATCCTACCAATTATGAGAATATCTCAATTCCACAAAATATAGAAATATCTCAATCCCACTATAGATCAATTTCAACCAATCTCACAAAATACAGGATTTTTTTGTGTTAGTGATTTTAGATAACACCAAATCCAACAATTGTGATGTCCCTACGCCCTGACCACCTATCCTTGAGCCCATCTCTTAAATAATATCAAATTGAGTGTAATTTTAAACCATTAATGGGACTAAAAGGAAAAGGAGGAAGTCGGTTTTGCCGTACACTTTCACGTAATGAACTGTACGACCTTACGTTCTGTTAGTCACCACCATCATATGCACATTGATCTTGTCACCATGACCATATGGATCATATTATATTTTCTTATACATATTAAGTAATGTAGAGGGGGTATGGAGGCAATTCTCAGTTTTCCCTTTTTCAGGAGTTGGTTCAGTAAAAATAATTGAAGAAGGGAACAAGTTGCAAGTGATTGGTGAGAATATGGACGCGGTCGACTTGACTCAGCGGCTTAAGAAGCGGCTTGGCCATGCAAAGCTGCTAAGTGTGAGACAAATGAGAGATGATGATGATGATGAGGCGCAAATGAGCTCAGATCGGCTTGAAACGGTTTGGCCTATTGAATATGGAGTGGCTCGGCCTATAGTTTATGAGTATTATAATCCAAATCACAATGGGTGCTCCATTTTTTGAAGAACTTTTATTGCACATATGCCATGCACACAAAAATTATGGGTGAGCTCCATCCTGACCATCCATCAAGTACCATGAGTGATAAACCGGGATTGACCTTGAAATAACCTTGGCTGCTTCTTAACTAAGATCTTTATGATGCTTGATGGACGATTAAGATGCAGTTTTGCGGAGTGTTTGTGAGGAGCTTTTATTTATGGTCCCTCTCTTTTCTGGTTTTTCAGCCCCTTGTTATATATTAACTGTATTTGTGGTAATAAGAATGACTTGAGTAAATAATAAATTTAAATCACCCGGAATTTGTGCACTTAGACTCGGGTCCGGAATCCGGACACCTTAGGTTCCTGAGGCCAAGTAAGGCAACTCATGGCCGAGTCATAGAGACAATAAAACTCTGATATGTGATATGGGTCAGTTTCCATGTTTTGGTTCTAGAATCTGGAGCTACCAAGTGCGAGTTGGTAACATTCGAAATAGCGACGTTTTTTGGGTTGACGAATTCCATGATAGGAGAGGAAGTTGAAGCCATTTTCCAAGTATATCGTAAATTGTAAGTAGAAGAATTTAAGCTTAGTGGTTTCGTAGTATGTTGTTTGGGGAAATGATCTAATGTAACGGTTGTATCATACTATAATCCAACCACACTTATAGAAAACCATGTTTGTAGTATTTGTACGACTCAAAATTTTGCACACACGCTCTTTTCATCTCTATAATCAATCCCAAAAAAGTAGAAGTTCAGTTTGAACCCTAGATATGGTCAAAATGAGTCCCCTCCAACAACGAATCTAGACCATTCACCTAGTGAATTTTAAGATCTTAACTTTTACAAACTCAAAATCATTTTTTTTCTTTTTAAATATTGTTCATCTAATGATAATATAGTCATCTAAAAAAATTGGGAAAGAAAAATTCCTTCTAAGGCCTAGATCTATGCATTCTATCAAAATGGACGGTCTATGTTAATTGGGCTAAAAAAGTACATTCTACATTGTGTTTTCAAATTATTATTTCTTGTGATTGTTCATGAGAAATAAAATAGTGTATATTTTCAAATTTGGACCAAACAAATAGCCTCTATTATTGTTTTTGAAGATTGTTGCATTATATTACTATACAACCGTTGCATGAAATCACTGCCCATTTGTAAATTCAGTGGAGGTGAAGCATTCATGCTAGCTTATAGTAGGTCTTTTAAGGAAAGGAATCAAGTGCCGACTTGGGCCTCCAACGACTTAAGTCGGAAAGTGAACTCTGACTCGGCTTGCAATTTTCCTGGTGACAAAATAATAATATTAATAATAAATCTATATGGGATAGGACTGGCCGGTTCACTTACTCAATGAACTAGGTGTTTCAACCAGTGGTGTTACAACCGCTTTTGAAACACTGGTCAAAATTACCAAACACGTCATTACTCTATCATTTATGAAGAGTCAATTGACGTATATAAATCACAATCTAACCCACGGAGTATGGGGCCATGGAATTTCCACATTAGAACCAAACCGAGTAAACCACAAGGGTGACGGAAGCGAAACCGAGTTGAAAAAGTGAGCCATCAACACTAGTTTCCTTTCGTCCAATTCATAGACTTTCAAAATTTAGGGATAGTATAGAAAGGGCAGTGAGTGTTCTCTTGACGAACCAAAACAAAGATGCCCATAGTCCTTAATTTCTTAGTCTTTTTATTTCAAAATGATTTAATTGCTGTGTTGACTTGCTTTGTCAATTGACTTAACCGGGTCTTTGTTTATAGAGTTTCGTTTGGTCGGGTAGGATTTTCAGGTAGAAATAAAATTTGTATATAGAAGTTGGAAATATTGTGGTACTTCAAGTATGATTGTCGCATGAAAGGACAAAAAAGTGTCCTCGACTACAACCAATCGAAAGCAATATAGCTCACTAATTCCTGCCAATCCTGGCACGAGCACTAACCAGTGTTTTAAAAATCGCTGAGTTGATTTGTAGGGTAACCGTTTGGATTAACCACCGTGTTATACTTGATCCCATCAGTTTTAATATTTGTTTCGTTATTTTATTACTAAAGACCCCATATAATCAGTAGACTGTCTCGAGCAGTTCCTAGACAGGTTAGAGTGGGTAACTGGCTTAACCCGCCAGTCCGTTTTTAGTCACGATGGTACCAAATATATCTAAGTTCACATGGTCATCTTGGATATTATTTTGTCAAATAAGATATTACACTCATATGTCATAGATTATAAATCATTAATAAAATAAAGGGCAAGCTCTCTATACTTCTCCTAATGTATAGTAGTTATATACTTCCCCTTATCTAGCCATCAGATCTGAATGAACAGTTGAGATGGATCTAATTACAATGTCACGTCTCTAGACAATTTAATTTTTAATTTTTTTCTACAACACCAAAGTTTGGCCATCCACTCCTCTCTTATACTCACACCTGCAAACAATATAAGAACCTTATTCTCTATAAAAACAAAATGACAAAAATAGTCCCATAAGTTTCAGGAGTATTTTGGTCATTTTATTTTATAAGAGTTTTTTTTTTTTTTGTTTGCCCTATTGAGATGATGGAGTGTACCAAATTTAAATTTATATAAGTTATAGAATAAAAACTCAAAAAGAAATAATCTGAGATATCGAATTCATATCAAACAGTCAATGATTTATTTCAACTAAATTGGAAAGCTGGATGGGAAAAAAGTATAGAACATAATGGGAAGTACATAAACCTTTCCCTAAAATTAAACATTTATGTTTTATAAAGATTGAGATACATATGAATAATGCAGTTTTATAACCATTGCCATAACATTCTTCATAAAAGTCGAATTTGTATCCTATCAAAACGAGAGGTCCAGTGTGGGAAACCAGTGGTGTTACAACCGACGAATTGGTCAAATGCTTAATAAGACTCAATAAGGGCCCCTTAGGGAAGGTAGAAATTAGGAAGCTTGACTATTTGAAATCCAAAAAATCAATCGATTTTATTAGGACTCTTGTCATAGATTCTTCAAATCTCTTGTTTGAATAAATTAGACAAAATTTATGAATTCTTTACAATCATTTTCATGTCCATTGTTTGGTATCAAAATTTGATGCATATTCTATTTTTAAAATTTTAATATACTTTCTCTTAAAACTCAAAATTTGGGTTAATCTCTCTCTAAAAATTTTGAGGACATTTTTCTCCCTAAAATTTGATATGGTTGTTCTCTCTAAAATTTTAATATACTTTTAAAATTTCAAATTGTTTCTTTAAAATTTTTGTGATAGTTTCTCTATTTAAAATTGTGAGATATTCTCTATCTCTAAAACTTAAAATTTGAGACAGTTGCCCTTTTTAATAATTCGGAAATAATTTTTTCTCTAAAAAGTTTTAAGCCGTCTCTCTCTCTAAAATATAATAGTCTATCTAAAATTTTTAAATACTCTCTTTGTAAGATTCAAAATTTGAGAAAATTTCTTTCAAAAGAATTCTGAGATGGTTTTTCTCTCTAAAACTTTTTAAGTACTTTCTCTCTCTAAAATTGGAAATAGTTATTTTCTCTTAAATTTTAACACGCTTTCTCTATCTAAAACTTAAAATTTGAGATAGATTCTCTCTCTAAAATTTTGAAATAGTTTCTCTCTAAAATTATAATATAGTTTATCTATCTAAAATTTTAGAGAAAATTTCGTGTAAACCCTTAATTTTTCATCTTATTTCATGGTAGACCCTCTTTCTGTTTTTCTTTCAAGTAACATAAAGAAATCTTTAATGATTTTACCGTACCCCCTCATCTCTTATTTTTCTCTTTTATTGACTTTTTTACTACAAAAATTAGACCCAACAAATATTTGTATACTATTTTAACTCAAAAACTTTTTTAATAGGTGGAAAGAGAAAAAAACGGTTCAAATGTTTTTGGATTGAAATGGTATAAAAAGATTAGTTGGGTGTTCATTTTTATAGTCAAAAGTTAAAAGAGGGAGATAAAAGATGCGGGGGTATGGTGAAATCTTTAAGGGATTCTTAATGGTTCTTGAAATAAAAACGGAATGAGCGTCTACAATAAAATAATATGAGAAATTAGGGGTCTATACGAAATTTTTCGAAAATTTTAATACACTTTCTCTCTCTAAAACTTATAATTTGATATAATTTCTATCTTTAAAAAAATTTAGATAGTTTATCTCTCTAAAAATTCTTCGTACTTTCTCTTTCTAAAATTTGATATAGTTTCTCTCTCTAATATTTTAAGATACTCTCTAAAACATAAAATTTGCGATAGTTTCTCTCTCTAAAAGTTTTGAGATTGTTTCTCTCTCTAAAAAATTTTAGATATTTTTTTCTCTAAAAGTTGATATAATTTATATCTCTAGAATTTTAGTGTATTTTCTCTCTCTAGAAGTTAAAATTTGAGATAGTTTCTCTCTCAAAAGAATTTGAGATATTTCTCTATCTAAAATTTTTAAGAATACTTTCTCTTTCTCTAAAATTTGATATAGTTTCTCTATCTAAAAATTTTAGGTACTTTTTCTCTCTAAAATTTTATATAGTCTCTCTCTAAAAATTTTGAGATAGTTTCTCTCTCGATAAATTTTCAAGTAGTTTCTATCTTTAAAACTTGATATGGTTTTTATCTCTAAAATTTTAATATACTTTCTCTCTTTAAACCTTAAAATTTGATATAGTTTTTATGTTTGAAAATTTTGAGATCTTTTTCTCTAAAAACTTTTATGCAGTTTCTCTATCTAAAATTTGATGTAATTTCTATCTCTAAAAATTTAATATACTCTCTCTCTAAAACTTAAGATTTGAGAGAGTTTCTATCTCTAAAAATTTTCAGGTGCCCTCCTTAAAATTTGATATAGTTTCTCTTTCTAAAACTTAAAATTTGAGTTAGTTTCTCTCTCTACAAAAATTTAGGTGCTTTCTCTCTCTAAAATTTGATATAGTTTTTCTTTCTAAAATTTAAACATATTTTCTCTCTCTCAAAGTTAAAATTTGGGATAGTTTTTCTCTCTAAAAATTTGTGAGATAGTTTTTCTCTTTAAAAATTTTTAGGTGCCTTTTTTTCTCTAAAATTTTCGTACCTACCAAATGTGCTCTATGTTTCGGGTCAAGGCGGTTGATGAGTGGAAACGACCTTGGAAAATAAAAAAAAACAGTTTTTGGTGTGGAAATGAAACCGTGAAAAAGTTAAGTTTTATTTTCCAAGATTTAATTTTCTTTGAATTTTAATATCCTAAGCATTGAGCAAACCAAACAGTAAATTTCACCAATATCTAAGATATTAGGAATCTATGACCCAAAATCGATGTGCCCAAAGAGGCCCTGAAACTAATACTTTGGAGTTCGAAATTTTACATTGTCTAATAAATGGAATGCTTTTCAAGGGAAAATGACATGGTTCTTAATAAAAAGGATCAAAAGAGGTTCTTTTTCATAGAGAGGTGCACACATTTCCTCTCTCTTGGTGAAAGTAAATATGGAATAGGAAAAATATATCGGTGCTAGTTTTCCATAAAATTCTTCTCGGTGAAAGTAAATATGGCAATCAGACTACTTGATCCAGGAATAAGTTTAGGACCCCAAAATTTGGGGATGCAACATCACAGACCTATCTCAATAGGAAAATTCTAAGTTGCATTTTTTATGAACTTGAAATAAATAATGTCTCCAAATTGAACATGTACTCCAAATTTGAAGGGTGAGATTCTTTTTTTTATTTTTTCTTTTTTTTGGGTATACGAAGGATGAGATCTAAGTGTAAAAAAAACTCAAAATCAATTTTTTGTTCTTTTAAAAATAATTATCTAATGATTCCGAGGTGGTTCTAAGAATACTAGAAGGTCTTCTGACCAAGGGAGTGGGCGTATACGTTTCTCCCACACGAGCATAGTATACGCGCTCAATTAGTAAACTGAAAATTATGCTCAACCTTAAACAAATAGAAAGAAATAAAACTCCTAAGTTTTGAAAATAAACCAGGTTAAAACTCACGACCAAACCAACGAAACCGCCCTTTAGTTGGCGGTCCCGTGAGATGACCGCTTCAATGGAACCTTCTCCTATCTTTCCTCCTCATGGAAGAAAAAAAGAAAGACTTCCGAAAGTCCAATAATTGAGGGTCACATTTGGTATCCTCTTACATGTGTCATATATAGATCATAAGCCAGTGCGAAATTTTTAAAAACCTGCAGAGACCCAAAAGTATCCAATCTGCAAGCCTTCAACCATCATCTCTACAATTCTTTGAGGCATCCATGAAGGTACTCTCTCTCTCTCTCTTGTAATTGTAAAGCCTTCTCTTTTCGAATTTTCACTGTCACAAAAATTTGTAAAGTTCTCTCTCAATATCTCTCTCTACTGTAAATACCCAAAAAACTATGAAGGAGCTCTCTCTCTCACACACATTGATGCATGTTTGCAGCAAAAGATGGTGTTCAAGGTACAAATGAACGACGGGCAAAAGAGCATGTCCAAGGCCTTGGGTGCAGTAGCCGGTACCCCAGGTTTGTCCATGTAAACCGAATCCTTTTCATTTCCGGCTTTTTAATTCTGTACCCATGTTTGGACTCGCTGGGCTCCCGAGCATGGATCAAGAGGGGCAGATTGGGCCAGGTCTGAACAAATGTCTTTTAGGGGTGGTTCGGAACTTGAGATGTTGCGCTGCTAATATCAACTCCTAACCATTAAGCCCAAGCCTGATTCCTAAGTCGCCTGATTCCTAAGTCTCAACATATATAATATAAAAAATTAGAGTGTTAATGACACCGTATATTTCTCCAAATGTGCACTTGCACTCGGCACCTTGTCAACTAGGATTGGAATCAGACCTGCCGAGCTTTACATATATGTGTGTAGGGAATCATATATATGTGTGTAGGGCTGTGGTTTATATAAGGTTGAGGGCTCTAAACAATCAAAATAAAATGTACCTTCAAATAGTGCCAAAGATGTTTTAGTATTGAAAATCTTTATGACACCCTGAAAATTTGTTTTCATCTCAAATTATAAAATTTAAAGCTTAAAAGATAGTGTAGATCAAACAGATCTATGAACACTTGATAATTTTAAAAATACATTACAAGATGCACTATTTTCAATACTTGAAATCTATTTTTTCCCACGTCCATGCATGTTGAGGTTGAGATGCTTGATTTGATGGCTTTTGGGCATCAAAACAACCTCGTCTGGTAGATTTCTAGGGTGCGCCTTAATTTGATTGTTCAAGGACTCACCCTTATATTAACTTTTCCATTAATTTATACTCGAAAATCCAACGTAGCCAACCAACCGAAAACAAAGATACTGAAATATATTTGGGTCCAACTCCTCCAACCCACCCAAATAATTAGGTTGGACGTATACTCCCATTTTTTATAGGAAAAATATTACTGTTGTAAAGGTACAGACTACACTGGTTTTTGTATGTCATGTGATACACTTTCTTTACACACCTTCTATCCTTAAGGCAACCGGACGGAGGCGGTTTAGGTCAACTGTAACCCAGCGAAGATTCATAGTTAGGTCAATTTCCACCGTTCATCAATAGGGATTGATGTGGATGTGTCCCATGCTTGAGCGTACACAACTGGTGTATCGCTTGTTTTCTCTATATTTGGACGACTTTTAGGCTGTGTTTGATTGGTAAAGCCCCCTCTTCCACAAAATCATGGAAGCCGGCGGCTTCCATTGTTTCTAACACCCCTGGAGGCTGCAACTTCCAAATTGCAGCTTCCAACAAGGCCTAAATAAAGGTGCGATTAAAACTGGCTAGAACTTAGGTTTCCCCCTCCCAAAAGCTACTACCAAACAAACACGCCCTTAATGTATGCTGCCTTTATTTTTATTTCGTATATTCCTAGCTGAAAGTCATTATTTTGGTGTTAGAAAACCACCAAATCAATCATCTCAACCTTAGTATTATGGATGCGAAAGGAGTAGGTTATGGCATATATTGTACCATATTATCTGGACCATTTATTTTAAATGCTCACAAATTTATCAAATCTATGTTATTTTTGGATTTTCAAATTTTATAATTAAAAACAAAATTATGTTTTCAAATCATTAGAGGGATTTATGGTACCAAAACATAATTTTAAGGTGGGGTTTTGTCGTGCAGCTGTACTTTTATTCCTAACAGCAGCCTCACCCGAACTGTATCCTTTATTAAGACTCATTTTCCTTTTGAGTTTTGACCAATGCATTCTAGTATGGGTTTCCCTTTCATCGTCGAAGGTTAAACAACATGGTTAGTGGATAAATTTAATGAAACTCATGCGCTTTCTCAATTTTTTATATTCACCACTTTGGCCCTGACCCAGGAGCAAAGTGAAATGGATGGCAAGGACTAATAAAAGTAAAAAAAGAGCCTTGGTTTAATTGGTTAGCGCTTGAGGCTAAATTTCTATCAAAGGTAGGGGCTCTCCAAACTAATCTGATCTGTCACGATTCAGCATTCATAGAAAACAATGTTGTCTGGCTACCTAATACAATACATCTCTTTAAGGTCCTCACCCTTCTTTAACTAGAAATACTTAAAAAATACGATTTGGAAAAACTTTTTAAATTATAGCTAGTCTACTAGTTACAGGGATTGCATCCAAAATTTTGGGATCCTAATCATACTTCTAGATTGGATTTCACCTGAGGGAACACATCGACAGTATATTCCCATAAAAGTAGGAAATCTTTTGGCTTAAAATAAAGGGCGTTCTCTGTCTCACACACACATTTATAATTTTTGCAGGCGTCATTCAATTAGGACTAGAGGGAGAGGACAAGAGCCAAGTGATGGTAATAGGAGATGGAGTTGATGCAGCAAAGCTAACTATGATACTGAGGAAGAAGGTGGGCCATACTGAGCTCGTAAGTGTCGAAGAAAATAAAGATGTAAAGAAGGATCCAAAACCAAGTGTGGAACCCACTGTTTGTAATTATCCTTGTTCTTATGCCCCACCCCAACCTTTATGTTTTGAGGTTCGCCCCTCATATAATGATCAATGCTCTATACTGTAGAGCATGAAAATAAAATAGAAGAAAATAGAAATGAGGAAATGGGGTTTGGTAGTTTTGCTATTTGCTGGGAAAGCTTCAATGTAAAGAATAGGGATGATTGTGCTCGACAGAAATTTCTGTATCTCATGAGCTTGTGGTATGGTGAGAATTATATAGTTTTTAATGGAATAAGAGGTTTTTGCATTTGCCTATCACATTTCAAGTTCATCCAGCTGCTGTGCTTTTTATCCGAGCATTATCTCAACTATATGAGCTTGGCTAATCGACGATGTTTTTTATTGATTATTACAAATTAACAAAAACTGGGTGACAAACTTTTGAGTCACTGGCTATGATCACATTGCAGTATAGTGACATCTGTGGTCCGAAATACCCTAGTAGATAGGGCAGTGGCACCATAAAAAACACGAGAAAATAACATGAATGAACATAACGGAAAAAACAAAGTAGAAAATAAGAACTTAAGGATTTATATGGTCCATCACTAATGTAATACATTCATAGGCGAAGTTAACATATGGCTTCACTATCACAGCTCCAAATCCGTACAAAACCGCTCTGACAAAAGATATATACGTTCAAAAAAATTATAGATACCTCCTAAAATCAATTTTTTATAAAATCTTATCTCTCAATAGTTTTTGTATTTTATTCTAAGCCCAAATAATATTTTTCTTTATATTTAACCCCCCTGTATAAAAAAATCAATCAAATTGAAACCAAAATACCCTCCTCTCTTCCTCTTTTTTCTCTCTTCCCCAAAATACCCTTCTCTCTACCCACCCTCTCGCTCTCTCTCAATCCCTGTCTCCACCTGCCCTCTCTTTCTCTCTCTACCCACTATTTTTCTCTCTACCAGACCTCTCTCACTCTCTCTACTCTCTTTTATCCCTCTCCTATTTTCTCCTACTCTCTCTATCTCTCTCTCTTCTAAAAAATCTGAGGGATTTGGGTTTTATGCCCTTGCGAAGTCTGGGCTCATGGCTTTTTCTTTTGCCCTGGAAATGTTTTGGCAATGGTTGAGAGCAGTTGTTCTTCATCCTTCATGGTTTTGCAGCAACAATGGCCTCTCGCCATAGAGGTTCTTTGAATTTTTTTTCTTCCGGTGGCCACCATCGGGCTACGCCTTTTTTTTTCTGGTGGATCCCAAAAATTAGAGGGCCATTTGATTCACGGCCCTAAAAAAAATCCTCGGTTTAGAGATTTTCCAATCGGAAATATTTTTCCGCAGGGGCCTGCGTTGTTAAACCCCTTTGTGAGATAGAGAAAGAAAAAGGAGAGAGAAGGAGAGAGAGAAAGGGCGGGTAGAGAAAACAAAGAAAGAGGGAAGGGGCAGAAAGAGTGTGAGGGATAGAGAGAGTAAAAAAGGGAAGAGAGAGAAAAAAGGTAATTTCGTCCCAAAATTCAGTGACTATTTTACTAGAGGTAAATACAAAGAAAAATAGTGTTAAGGTTTAAGATATGATATAAAAAATAAGAAAAATATAAAATGAGACTATTTACCTTTGGTACAAGGTGAGAGATTAATCTTGACAATTGGATGTGAAATTGAGTGGCTGCAATTATTCCATTGACCAAGCTCAAACTTTTAAAGAAATTTTTTCAAACTTTGTGATATATCCACGCCATCAAACTTTACATTAAATGATTGTAAGTAATTGTGAACACCTTATATCAAAGGTAAATAGTCTCATTTTATGTAATCCCTAAAAAGTATCGGGGGAAAGGGGAGAAAGTTATGTATAATTTTTCCTATAAATTACGGAAACAAAATCACTAACAACTTTATATATTCTCAAACCCCAACACAACCCAAATGAGAACATGTTTTTGTACCGAAAATACCCTCACAACAACCTTGACAATCAGAGCCGGACAGTGAAAAAATTCAGAGATCACAGTAGAATTCATTGCATAGTTGGATTAATGTTTGACAAATTGAACTGGACTCGAAAACAGGCCAAGGGCTGGATCTAAGTAAGTGGTAAACCGGCCGGTTCACTAGGCTTAACTGGGCAAGTCCGAGTCAGTCCAAAAAGTGTTAAAAAAATACAAAACAAAAATTAAAACATATATTTGAAGCATTAGTAAATAAAGCTATCCAAATGAAGTTGAAAAGACGTAAAAAAAAATAAAAAAAAAGAATTTAAAAAATCAATTTGTGCCTAGAAGTAATTTCAAAATTTTCCAAAAAATATGGGAAAATGTAAAAATAAGTATTGATGACCAAAATAATTTCTAATCTTTATCAAAATGATAATCACATTACAAACAAATCACTTATTTTTTAGGATTTTATATTTTTTTTATAATATTTTTTTAAAATATACGGCCGAACCACCTAAACCAGATCGGCCAGTGCCTGGTTCGGATTTGACCTGCCAATTCCGAGTTGGACCGGCGGACTTTACGAACATTGAGTTGGATTTAATGGTATGAATTATCAAGTAAAATAAGTTTAGATAAAAAAATGTGGGAGGAAGTTTCAATTAAAATATAATGTCAAGATGTGATGTAAAAGTATTCAAAGTCAATAAATATGTTAAAGAGTTGAGAAAGAAACAGTGGGAGCCACCTAAGGAGAAACTGAGACCTTGTCGCTTGACTACCCCCAAAAATTTGGGCCCTTCCAGTCTTCAAGACGATGGCTAGTCGTTTTGAGTTGCCTCCTCTACAAAATGGGACTAAGTCTTTCCAGACTACGAGCTAGTGGACAGGCAGATCAAGCCAACTGTAGCAAGCCAACTGCAGCAAGTGAAGAATCCTCTCTTTTTCTTTATTTTTATATATATATATATATATATATATATAATAATAATAATAATAAATAAATAAAATAAAAAGAGAGAAGACGGCAATAATGTGACATACCTAAAAAACCAAAACTGCTTTTCTCATCCTCATTTGCTTATGTGAGCAGATAAGTTTGATGAGGATCTCAATCAGCATCAAAGCAGGTAGCAGAGTAGTTGGTCTTATATTTTACCAAAACTCCTTACAAAAAATGCTATATATTTTTTTTCCTTTGCTTTAATATTCTCTAAGTTGTTGTGGTCATCACCTTCAATACATGCTCCTGTATCTTTGAGTTAGTGGCTCTCATGTAAGTGTCCAATCCGCCTCTCTCTACTGTTAAAGGATGAGGTTTTTATAAGGCCTAGGCTTTATGAAAATAAAATAAATTCTTACCTCAAATCCTCGTCCGGAAGGTATTTTGGGCAATAGAAATATCCATGATGGTTTTAAAATCAATTTCCAATATCCATAATGAAATTCGAAACTCAAAGAATGGTATTGAATATGCGGATATATGAAAATTTTATTTTTAGGCCAAAATGGACGATCTAGATAATTTATTACAATATACACCATTTTCAGATCTTGAAATTGTTTATTTTTGTTCACAACCATAATGTTCCAGCCAAGATGATTGATGTAAATGTTTTATAATGCTTGACCTATAATTTTCGATGGGTTATAAGACGAGGCTTTACTTGTTTTGAAAGAGCTGCAGCCCTATCAACCCATTTTCCATTAGACCAAGGTAGGGGCAGTGTCTATGATGGGAAAGTTTAAGATTTTAGTCCTCTAGACTATAGAAATACCATTGTCCGTCAGGTTATCACTAACCGGACAATGATGGACAATCAATTAAGGATGGTGGAGAAAAAATAAGTGATTCCTTAGAAGGTTAGTAGATAACAATTGGGGGTCCCATTTTCTCTCCATCAGTGACTATTCATTAGTTGGAAGGTGATGCACTAAGTATATTTTCTTGTATTCTGATTGGAAGGAACCTGGATTTGCAACTATGACAATAACTTTAAGACCGTATATTTTGGTACAAGAAGGTAGCAACCACCATAGTAAGATGTGAAGTCAGATAATGGGGAAGTGTCATTTCTCTCAACAAATTTCCAAAAAAAACCTTTTGGACTTCAAATGAGTCAAATGGCACTCACTTAGACATCAAATTCACATCTTATGAGTAGGGGTGATTGCACCCTTTCTATACCACTAATAAATGGTATTATTATATACTCTTTCAATTTCTCCATACCTTTATTGACTATCACATACATTCTTGTGTTAAATAGTGAAGTGGTTAGAAAAATACAAAAAGTACTTATGCTTGGAGTAACATAAGGTAGGATATAGGCTAGGTGGTTTCATAAAACCTCTCAAAACATTAGCTGTTGAGGAAGGGATGAGGTTAGAGATCATATTTTCCTAAATCTATTGGAGGATCTCTTGTAGAATCCCCCCTATTGACTCGAGCACTGGTTCCTAGCGAGTCCCGGCCTGACTCCTCTTTTTAAAACATTGGTTATGCCTAAGGCCCATGTTACCAGTCCCGGCCTGACTCCCCTTTTTAAAACACTGGTTATGCTTAAGGCCCACGTTGCCAAGGTGAACGCCCGTACCGTGGTTTCGAGCCTAACATTCATTTTTTGGGTAGTTCAGATAGGAATTGAACTTGGAGTGTAAGGTGAGAACATGCTTTATCAAAACAAAGAGCAAAACATAATTTAAGAAAACAGAGACCAAAATATATGAATTGATGAGTAATAAATGTTGTGCTCTTATACTACTTGTTGTGCTCTGATACCATTTTATTCGTGAGATCATAGCTGAAGGTGATATCTTGTTACTGAATATTGACACCAAGAAGAATGTTGCAGATATGTTGATAAAGCCGGTTCCATTACAGAAGTTCAAGCTATGCTTAGACTTGACTAATGTGTTGCCCAAGTGAGCGCGTGTGGAGAAGACGGTCGAGGATAATTTCTTTTGAAATTCAAACTAAGGTGGATATTCGTTGATATTTATCTTGAATTCTTAAATCCCTTATTTTAATAGATTGGTTTCCTCTAATTTAGGTTTCCTATTTATTTAGGTAGAGCATATTATTTAGGATCTAAGTTTATGGATTAGTCCTACTTGGATTAAGATAGAGCTTTAAGTTCACATGGATAGGGATAAAGTTTCTTATTTATTTGGGTAGAGCGTATTATTTAGGATCTAAGTTTATGGATTAGTCCTACTTGGACTAGGATAGAGTTTTAAGTCCATATGGACAGAAATAAAGTTTCTTGTTAATAAAGTTATGAAAGTTGAGATTGGTTTGATCATACTTGTTTTTTGTGCTTTATTCTCTCTATATAAATATGCTTTTCTAAAGA